CTTACAAGTACAGTGTAAATTATTGGCAAAGGTGCAACATAGCCAGCTGTAATTGTAACATGCAGAAAATGAGAAGACTCTGTGGTAAACATTTGTTAGGCTAGATTGGAAAATGTATGATTGAGAAAGTTAATCATTCTATATGCAGCTAATCTTTAATCAGTGCTAAATCAATAAGGTTGTGTACCTGACTGGGGCTCCAGTCGGTATTCTGTTATGAATCGGCATCTTTAATTGAAGGGGTGCATCCAAAAAGAGATCCAGTGACTCTTGGTCTCTTGTCAAATTCTCCTTTTTTTTTTTGTAGAAGGAAGGGGAAAGCAATTTGTTAGGAGAATCTTGCTGCCTATCAGATGTCACTTAGGCTCTTTTTCCATGTATCCCTTCAATTTTAGTAGCTTTCAAAAATCACCCTTATGGACTTTTCTGTCCAGTGATGAGTGTTGTACCAGGGTAGCCACATAATTCAAATTTCAGTTATTGAAAGCACTGCACATTAAGAACTTTTTGGCTTTCAAGAATTTAACTTGCTATATACAGGGTTCGTATGGGTCCTGGAAAACCTGGAAGGTCCTGGAATTTTACTGTGGCATTTTCCAAGGCTGGAAAGTCCTGGTAAAGGGCTACTGGTCCTGGAAAGTTCTCGAAATCTATTAAACTCAAGTAAAAAATATGAAAGGCATGAAAGACAGTAAGGAGAATTAACATTGAGATCTTGTTAATGAAAGGGTTAATGTGAATTATAGAGTTCTGCAAAAATCAATCTGAGTCCTGGAAAAGTCCTGGAAATTTGTTTCTGAAAAAGGTATAAACCCTGTATATATTCAAAGATGCTGCTCCCATGAAGTACTCTCTTTTAATACTACCATTGAGAGCTAGAGCTGAGCTGACAAATGAAATTATTTTTGCTTTAATAGGTATGGTGTAAAGGAATTTCTTGTTATTCATCCAGCTGAGGATACTGAAGCTGTCGATAGTGAATCCAAGTGTCATCTTCTTCTTAGTTCCATTGGGATTGCTGCCACTAACTCCAAATGGTATGCAAGTTCAATATACCAGTATAGTGAAAAAAGCTTTGCGGTCGTCCGATTTTGTTAATCACTCGTATGATAACAGACCGAATTGGACTCCACTCAGTCCTATTACCATTATTAATTATAATTATACTTGAATACATATTCAGCAACAAATCACTAATATTTTCACTTTGCAGCACAGTTCCCATGTTTGCCCAAGTTCTTCAGCGATGGAGAAAGATTTACATTGGACTCTGTATTGGAGGCGGATTTCGCACAGTATTTGAGATTTCTCACCTGCGTCATGTCCCTGCTCAATACAGACATTTAGCTGGACTTCTTGAAATCTTCAAGGACAAATTGGTAGGTTCACCTTCTAAACGTGGGTGGTCAAGATACATTTAGCTAGATATTATAGTGGCTGAAATCTTTTTCTGTGTGTGTTAAGGGACTGAAAAGCAGTCAAGGTCCATAAACACACACACAAAAATGATTGAGGCCGATATCCAGCCGTCTAATAGACTTAACAAGCTTGGTCAATAAAGGATTTTTTATATGGCATACAAGGCCCCATTTTCTTATGGGATACAACAGGGAATCTCGATTGGGCAAGATAACTGCTTNTTTTAGAAACCCACATCTCTTAGGATAGAGATTCATTTTAGAATAAATATTACCACTTGAAAATTGTATTAAATGTTTTTCTTCTAGGCGTGTCCAATTTCTCCTGTCCCACCTGTCACATTAACTGTTCGTTTTACTTACATACTGGATGAGTGGACAGATTATGCCTGGCCACAAGAGCCCCCTGATCTGTCGTCATGTTTGGAGTGTAAAGTCGGAGTAAACAACCTGGGAACTTTACCTTTTGGGGCATGTCAAGATCCAATAAGGTACATGTAAGCTAATTGAAATCTGGGGGGACACTCTATAAATCTTTGGGTAGGGGTGTTCTGCTGGGACATTGTAACCCTTTTTGTATACAAGAACATGATCAGCTTGATTTTGCAACCCTATACTAGACCAGGTGGTATCCAGTCGTTTCACCGACAAGTTGTTTCGCCAACGACTCGTTCGCCAATGTCTTAGGTCGATTCGCCAATGTCCTAAGTCACTTTGCCAACGTCCTACTGGTCAATTAGCCAACATCTAAATAAAAGTTTACCTTCAGTTTTTGTGCTTGTAAATATGACACTATATATTGTAATACAATTGCTGTTGTTACTTACTTGATGTTCCATTTTACTTCTAACTCGATTATAGGGCTGGAAAATGAAAACAAACTCTGTTTGCTTCTGAAAAAAAAGGAAAAGATATAATGTTAA